AACTGGAAGGATGTGCAGCTATGACATACAACTATCTACTGGGGCTTTGGGGGGAAAAAATAAAAAAAAAATAAAAATAAAAAAAATAAAAGAAAGGAAATGAGTTTTTGGGGCAAAATAAAATCAATCAGTATAATATATAATTGTTATTTAAAAACTGTAAAAGAAAGTGATGTCTTGGCAAGAGAAATTGGCCTCTTTCAGTGTTGTTCTGAAAGAGAGATCTTAGAGGACCCAATTAAAGACATCAAATTTACAATTTTTCCTCACTTCACTTGCTCATGAGAGTTGCTAGAAAATAATGGAAAGGATTTAGACAATGGAAGCCAATTCAGGGAAGGCTCCAGGGGCACCAGGAGCAGGAGCCCAGGAGTTGTTCTGTGATGATCTTGGGCTGAGCACAGGATCTGAGAGCTTTAGATTTCTTGTCTGTAAAACAAGAGGGTTGTCCATCCATCTTTAAGTTCTCGTTCAGACCTACAATTAGAGGAAATATGTCATTCCCAAAACTTGAAGTCAAGGCATATCTGTATTTATTGACTGTCTAGCATGTAAATAAATTTACTGTACATAAATGCCCAACTGGGCATTGTTTTTAAAGATAAACTCCAGAATGCAAAGATGATGGAAATGTTTCATTTTAAACTTCTTAGGTCTGCGTCAACTTGTTTCTATTTTCTTTATTTTCATTTAGGTGACAGGAGTAGTCAACTTTATGATAGGGACATTTTTAACCATGTGTGCCTTAAAGTATTCTTGAAAAATGTCTCTAATATAGAGTAAAACAATCCAAAGGCATAGTAGAAAGCAAGAAACGAGGTGCCCATAAAATAGTATTTGGTACAAAGAATGATTCTATGGGGTCTGTTAAGACGCCAAAGTCCAGAGTAGGAAGGAATGCTGATAATTACCTAATGCCAAAGTTGCTGCTGGCTTCTCGATGGTAGTCGCCTCGCACTCAAAATGTTTTGTTGTCTGGAGAAATTGTCCAGTGTTCGGAAACATCACCTCCTTTGACTCTTACCAGATTCCTGTGTTTTAGGATTTTGAACTATGTGAGAAAGCAGTCTGAATTGCGGTCACCAGGATAGTTAATTGTGCTAAGACTTAGCTACCAAGTGCCTATCAGGATAGGTATAAAGATCTCAGGTGAAGTGGGAAGCTTGTGGGCGTACCTTGTTTTAATTTAATGTAGAGCTAAAAACCTAAATATTTATGTCAGATTTAGGGAGACTTTTCCCCTCCTCTTCAAAATCTTTTTTCCGTTTGCACAGCTCCCGAAGTCCTCGCCCTTTGGAACAGTGGAGAGTCATTTGAAACTTAACCGAACGCTGGAGCCAAGTTCTACTTTTCAGGTCATCCAATGTAGGAGATCCAATTTCTGCAGAGGGAAGAAGCCTGGTGGGGGAGGGAAAAACCAGACTCTCGTCTTCAGATCCCTCCACCTTCCATCCGCAACCTGCCACCCAAATGGAGCCAAGTCAGGGATTTTGCCGTGAACCACCACCGCCACCGCCACCGCCAACGCCACCCTGTCACTCACGCCCGGTGAACACGCCCCCGGTCCACCCTTGGCCAATGGCAGCTCCCCTCTTTGCATAGTAATGAGCCCGAGACCTCCCCGGGCCAATGGCGCGCCGGGAGCAGGGTTAGTTTTGCATGTACCTAGGTGATTTGCATAGCCCGGCGCGGGGGGCTCGGGCGCCGAGCGTGCGACCGTAGAAGGGAAGGAGCGGGGCGGCGGGCGGCGAGCGGCGAGCAGGAGCAGGAGCGGGGCGGGCGCGGGCCGGCATGGCTGAGGGCTGCGCCCCGCAACCTTGAGAGCGGCCGCGCCGAGGCCGGACGGGACGCGGGAGCATGGAGCCGCGGGCTGGCTGCCGGCTGCCCGTGCGGGTGGAGCAGGTCGTCAACGGCGCGCTGCTGGTCACCGTGAGCTGCGGCGAGCGCAGCTTCGCCGGGATCCTGCTGGACTGCACGAAAAAGTGAGCGGGGGGCGCAGGCCCGGGCCACCCCCCCGGAACCCCCCGGGACAACCCCTACGCCTGCCGGCCCAGGGCCCCGACTGGCTCCAGGGCGGGGCGGCGCGGCGCCCGCTTTCGGTTTCCCTGGCCCGGGATTCAGGGCGCGCGAGCGCGGCTGCCCCTCGGGGGGCGAAAGTGGCTCTCAAAGTCGCTGCGACTTTTCGGGACGGGGAAGGGGCGCCGGGCGTGGAGCAGCGCTGGGCTCCAAGTGGGAGCCTGGGCGCGGGGCACGGACCCGAGTCCCCGCGCCCGGCCGCCGGCTCCCCAACTCCGCACGTCTGCCATAATTAACGCACTTTTCTTTGTTCAGACGCGAATTCTTTGAATTCGGCTGTTTTCAGAATTGTCATCGTTGGGGGTGGGGAGAGTGGGTTCAGATCCGCGCCGGACTTGCCCTGTCAGTTACTCAGAATTGGGGGTGCGCTGAGTAATGTCATGGGTTCCCCTAGGCTCCTAGGAGCGACTAGGGGCTGAGGTTTGGATTGGTGGCAAGCAGTGGTGTCCGGCGGTGGGATTTAAAAACACTCTTTGGGGTGGGGGAGCCCTCGGCGGTGCAGGACTGAAGAGATCCAAGATGTGGAGCAGCCGGTGCGCTCCGCGGGAGCTCTGGTCTCTCCAGCGGAGGGTCCCGGGCAGGCCTGGGGGCAAACCCATCCTGAGACACACCTGTGCGTGGCTGCAGGGACTCCTGCAGCACGGAAGTCTCCTGGATACGGTGTCACATGGCGGTGAGCTGTTGCCACAGATAAATGATTAGGCATTAATCAGACACTCATGTCTTGGTGCTCCTGCTGGGCCTTATTTTGAAACTGGGAGCAGTAGAGGGCTCCCCTTGCAGAGGCCCAACTTTTTCCCTTGGTGGAGCCCAGATTTTGTTCCAGTGGTGTGGATTCAGCTAGAGGGCCATCACCTTTAGACAGACACCCCGCTGGCATTATCTCTTCATTAGATGTGCCAGAAGCCATTTATGCACAAGTCATGTGATGTAACATATGGCCTCCCGGGTGACTGTCGCCCTCCTCCGTGTTGGCTACCGCAGAGAGTGCTTGGCAGGACCCAGTGACACTCGGGGGCTGCAGCATAGCCCCCTGAAAGCTGCCAGGCTGTGCTCTGGGGTGGCCGAGGTCCCTTGCAACTGATGGCCACCACTTCCTCCCTCGGGCAGAACTGCCGGCCTGGCCCTGTGCCTTCCCCCCGGGTCTGTGCAGGGCTGCACCCCTCTTTGCCTGTGAGCCCTGCCTGACTTTTCCTCCTTGGAGAGGGGCACTTGCAACAGAAGACTCCCCCATTTTCTGAGGCTCCCTGACTCAGGACAAGGGAGGCTGTGGGGCCCCCTGGCTTGTGGCTGGGGATGTCTGCAGAGGCAGCAGGTTCCCCTCCCTTTCTCTCTGCCTCCAACCGGGCCCTCCTCCCTGAGGCCTGTGGCAAACCTGGTTGGGAGATCTACACTCCCCCACCCCTTTCCTCACCCCCTCGTGGAAGGAAGCAGGCCTGGCTGGGATCCCCAGCATGGGACCTGGCGGCTGTAGGGTGCGTGGGAGTCAACCCTGCCATGGCCGTGTTCAGCTGTAAGCAGAGCCGCCCACGGAACCAGGAGCTGGGCCTTGGTGGGCGCACCTCTGCTCAGCAGCGGCTCTTTCTGACCTGAGCTGGCCCCCATGTTCTTGTGGAGGAAGTGAAGATAAAGCTGGCCTCCCCTGCCCCTTCAACCCTCCAGGGCTTGGTCCTGAAATTGCCCCTGCTCTGTCCACCCTTGTCTCTCCTTTGCTTGTCGCCCCTGGTTTCACACTGATTCCAGTTCTCCACCCATCATACATGCGCTGCAACGTTCGGGCAGGGTCCAGGGGCAGCTTGTATCCCGGCCTGGGCGTTTCAGGCAGTGGGGGTCTGGCCTCGGGCGGCAGGGTCCACAGCGCTGCCTTGCCTCCCCTGGCGCCAGTTTCTCCTCAATGCCCGCGCCTCCTTCCCTGCATGTGACAGTGTCAGGGCTGGTCAAGGGAGGCCTGGGTCCGGGTGTGGGCGCTAACTGGCAGGGAAGAGCAGCTGGGAGCTCGGATTGCACGCGTCCGCCCACCTCCGGGGCCTGCAGGTCCCAGAGCAGCGGGGTCGTGTGGGTGTGTTCAGGGCAGCAGGCTGCAGCTGACGGTGTGCCCATGGTGCAGCCGCAGGGCGCGTGCCAGGAGCTGTCATGTGTCAGCAGCAGACGTGGGCCTGGGCGCCCTATGCGGTAACTGTGCGTGTCTCCTGCTGGACGAGGCAGTCCCACCAGGAGGGGCCGTGCACACAGGTTCCCGGGTTGCCCCTGGAGCGGGGCCCAGCAACCAGTGTTGATGGTTGGGTGTTTGGGAGGTGGCGTCCCCTCCCTTGGTGCTCTGGGAGGAGGGCTCTCCTCCCTGTTTCTTTGCAGAGGGGAGAGGAGCTAGCGGAGGCCGGGCCGAGGTCTCAGCAGGTGTGTGGAGCTGGCAGGCCGCATGCCGAGTGCCTCCTCCCCTCCCAGACTTGAACCTGCTGCCAACCTGCTGTGTGATCTGAAGCAAGACTCTCAGAGGCCCCGAGTGCCTGCCTGCTTGTGCGTTCACAGTTCACATATGTGCACATTGAGCACCTACTGTGTGCCAGGGAGTGGGCTAGGTCCCAGGCATACTGCTACCGGTGGTCTCCCAGTGTCTCCACAAGGCGATGATTCCTTCCGATGCAGTAATGAAGCGAAAAGCCCAGGGCTGCCTCGACCCCACAGCTCTGACTCTCCAGGCTGGGGCGTAGGGTGAGCATGGGCATTGTTTTGTGGGTGATTTGGGGGTATACTTCTGATTGAGGACCTCGAGTAGGGTGGCCCTGGCTGAGGGGTGGCCTTAGGACAGCAGAGGCTCAGAGTGGTGAAAAAGGATGGTCTCATGGACAGCAGGTGTGAAGGTGGCTGCCTGCCAGGCCTGGCCAATCCGGGGCCTCTGGCCTTGACCTCTAAGCTGTTGGTTTTCAAACTTCCTCGTTGTGAGTCACCCAAGGTGCCATTACCATGCAAGACTTCTGGGCCCCTCTGCTGGAAAGGTTGGGGTGCAAGCCTTTGTAACCCCAACCTTTGGGGGGTTGGGACTTGGGCTTCTGGAGACTCTGCTGGCCAAGAGTCTCAGCCACAGCCTGTCCCTGGGCAGGAGAGCAGCCCTGTTCCATGCCCCACACATCCCCCATCCAGGATGCAGGCTCGGCCACTGGTGGCTGCTCCTAGGTAAATTCTCTGGATAAATGAGGAGCACCTGGTCCAGGCCCTGCTGAGGACGTTCTCCCTGTCCTCAAAGAGCTGAAGGGACCTGGCCGGCGTGGCTGGTCTTGGGAGCTTCTCCAAGGACGTGGTGAAGGGGTATGGGCTAGGGTTCGGGCCTGTGCTGCTGGGGGGGTCCTTTGAGGCCTTGAGAGGGCTGCAGTCAGCCAAGTTTTGTTGGAATGATGCTGATGGTTATTAAACCTTCGAATCCAGGACTCTGGGGGCCAGCTGTGATGGCCTAGCCCTGCTGCTCTCCCCAGAGACCCTGGGTTGATACCCATGGGGGAGTGGTGGGCTCTCGTGTACCCCTGGATGAGGGACCACTCTGGTGTCCAGGCCTTCACTTCCTCTGACACCTCCTGGAGCAGAGGTGGACCCGGAAGGCCTTCGTGCTGCAGCAGGCCTGGCGAGCCCGGTGCCCTGCTTCTGCCCCTCCCTCAGGGCTCTGGCCCTACAGCTGTCCATCTGCTGGGCTATACAGCCCGACCGCAGGGTGGGCCTGGCTGTATGGACTCAGGCCTGTCCTGGGGCTCAGGCTCCTGCCAACATGGACGCTCACTGCAAGGAGCTTCTGCAGGTGCTTGGCCCCGGGGTTTGGACCCCCAGGGTGTTTCTGTTCCAGGAGCCATGTTTTTTCACCTCTTTACAGGACCCCAGGGTGGCCTCTCCCCGTGGAAGGATGAGAAGGAAGGTCTGGGGCAGATGTGGGCCTGGGGCCGTTGGGCACTGCAGCCGCTCGAGTCCTGAGTCTGCAGAGCAGGGAGGCCTCAGGGGAGGCGGGGAGCTCTGGCAGTGGCCATCCTGCTCCTTCTGGCCGTGGGCCGCCTCAGGCCCGGCCGCTCCGGGAGTTTGCTGGCTGGACTCACAGGCAAGACCCAGGGACATGGGTCAGCGGAGGCTTGGCCACTGGCGTCCTGCCGAGAACTGCAGGCCGGGCTGTTTCTCTCTGGGCCCCTGTGTCCATGCCAGTGGCCCTGCCTTCACCTGGGCAGAGTAGTGGGTGGCCCTGGGGACTCTGTCTCCTGTGCTCTTGGGGGCAGAACTACTTTGCTTTTGGGTCTGACTCCCATTAGAGCCTCCTGCCTTCGTCTCCGCAGCCTAACCTCAGAGCTGAGGTTACCTGCCCCTCCCTCCAGCTCCCCAAGGACACTGTGCTGAGGTTTGCTTCTGGGTCCCTCAGTTTTCTTTGTGGAGATGTTGGCCAGCCTGGCTCTCCAGGCCGAGACTGGGCCGGGCCCTGGCTCCCCTGCTGAGTCACTCCAGGGCCCCTCCCCATGTGCCTTCTCTCCATCCTTGGGTAGGGCCCACCTTGGTGGGCCCAGTGAGTCCAGCACAGACCCTCAGCGCAGCAGAGGGCAGGGCAGTGGGGGCATCTGGGCCCCTCGCCCTGGGCCTGCCAGGCTGTCCCTCTGGCTGCAGGGCCACCCCAGCCCTCTCGCCTGCCAAGGCTCTGCGGTATCACCTGTGGGGCCTGCCAGGCCAGCCGGGGCCTCCCTTCCTGGACTCAGGCCACTGTGGGCACAGCCCGGCCTCACTGAGGGGCTGGGCCCTGTGGACGAACCATAGGCCACAGTGGGCTGCACCTTGTGCCCCGGGTCCAGTTATGTCGCCCCACTGGGGACAGGTTGCTGAGGTTCCTGAAGAGTGTGGTCGGTGCCTGGAGGCAGCAGAGCTGGGACATGAGTGCAGACCCTGGCTGTCACCAGACCCGCTGGGGCCCATCTTCCTTAGCCTCGTCTCCCGTCCCTGAGATGGGGATGGCGATGATAGGTGCCTCATGGCACTGCTAGAAGGGTTTGGGAGCTGAAGCCCGGCAGCCTGGGGTACCTGCTCTGCAATCTGCAGCCTGGGAGTGAGCCCTCCCACCGGCCGCTGTTTACCCACCAGGCGGTCGTGGGTGTGGCCTGGACAGGGCGGCAGCTCGGGGAAGGAAGTATGGCTGCCGGCCGTGCCAGGGTCATGGGGCCTGCCGTGCGGCAGCGGTGCCATTGCACAGGACTGCAGCTGCCGTCTGGAAGGAGCCCCCCCAGAGGCCCCGGCCCCTGTGGGCTCAGAGGCGTGCACACCAGGGCAGGGGCCTGCCTGTTCTCCCGGCCCTGGGTGCTGTGGGAAGCCAAGCCTGCTTCCCAGTTTGGTCTGCCAGGGCAGGGAGGGCTTGGCCACCAGGCCTGGCCTGTGTCTGGTGGGTGTAGGCCCAGCCCATCCAGGGGTCCACCATTCAGGGCTCTGGCTCAGGTCAGGGCCTGGGTCTCTGGCCGAGGGCTGTGTGTCCATCCTAAACATGCAGAGACCCCTGAGGGGCGTGTGCCATAAACAGGGGCAGAAGCCTCCCTGGACCGCACCTGTGGGGACTTCGGGGGTACAGTGACTCCCACCCACCCCCCTGCCTCCCTGCCCCCAGCCTGCATTGCCCAAGGGGACTGCAGAGCCCCCTGGGCCGGCCAGCCAAGGGCTCAGTCTGCACAGGGTCCTGCAGAGGGGGCTCCTGCAAGGAAGACCACTTGGGGTTGGGGGGGATGATAGGGAAGGGGCTGCCCAGGGGTCCCGCTCTTGGGGTCCCTGGGCCCCAGCTGGCAGGAGGGGCTCTGCACCAGCACAGCAGGCTGGCATGCAGGTGCAGGCCAGGTGTGGGGAGGGTGGGAGGGGAGACCAAGGAGGGAGTGTGGCCTGGGTCTGAGTGGGGTGGCAGCACAGGGGCTGGGGAGGGTGGGACAGTGGGGATGCAGATGATGAGGAGGGTGTCAGAGTGAACCCCCAGTTCATGGCCAGGTGGCTACAAAAGGTGGGCAGGAAGTGGGCTTTGGGAGAGGCCTTGGGAACAGCCTTCCAGGCCCCAGATCTGTGGATCCTCCCTGGTCTGTGGACCCCCCATGCTGTGTGGACCCCTCTAGTTTGTGAACCCCTGGTGTGTGGACCCCACTGGACTGTAGACTCCCCTAGTGCGTGGACCCCTGGTCTGTGGACCCCCCGGTCTGTGGACCCCCCCCCCCGGGATCGTAGACCCTCCTGGTGTGTGGACCTCCTGGACTGTGTGTGGACCCCCCTGTGGGGTTTCCTCTCTGAGGTCCTGATACCTTCACTGTGGCCCTTGCCCCTGTACCCACAGGGCAGTAGTTGAGGGGCCGTTCCTCACCCTTAGCTGGGGAGCCTGCTCACTGGAGGGGCCGGGCTGCCTGGGTGACTTTCTGGCCCAGGTGCTCCCACTGGGGCTGAGTCTGCCTCTCAAGGGGGCCTTCGAGGGGGCTTTTTGCACAACCACTGTTCCTAGATGTCGCCGTCTGGCCGGGCACCACTGCTGCCTAGGGCTGGGGGCCTCCCGGCTTCCCCTTTCTCCTTGAAACACCTCCTCATGTGGGACCCCTTTGTGGGGTGTTGTGGGTTACATGGTGGGGCTCCTGGCACCCCCAACGGCAAGGGGCAATGAGCTGGCCCAGAAACTCAAGGTGCATGTGAATGCGTTCGCATGAGTGCGTGTGTGAATGATGTGTATGTGTGTGTGCACGTGCCTGGGTGTGAGCACACGGGTTTGGTTCTCAGCCTGCTCTGAGTGCCCATGAGGTGCTTGTTGAAGGGATGAGCTAGGTGCTGATTTCGGCGTAGGGTCCGGGCCCCCTCTGATGCCCGGGGACTCAGGCGAGGTTTGGTGACACACCAGCCTGTCACGACCCTGGAGTGGGGAGCGGGGGCAGCTTTGGGCAGGGGCTTATCTCCCACACCTGGACTCTGGCAGACTTTTTCCGTAAAGGGCTGGACAGTAACTATTTTCGGCCTGGCGGCCATGCAGCGTCTGTCACTGCTACTCAGCAATGCCGCGGGGGCGGAGAGCGGCCAGCCGGTTCGCAATCGAGCAGGCGTGGCCGGGTGCCAGTGAGGCCTGACTTACAAATACCAGTGGTGGCTGATTTGGCCCGAGGGCCGTGGGGGCCGTAGGGCCCCAGGGTCCGTGCTCCTTGTCCCTGTGCCCGGTGCCCAGCCTGGGGCTGCTGAGAGGGGAGCCTACACCTGGGGGTTGTTTTCCCAGTTGAGCGCATGATCCTGGGGCTCCTTTCCTATCCCTGTTAATCTCAGCCCACCTGGCCTGGAAGTCCTACAATACGTGTCCCCAGGGGTGTTGTGGTGCAGTAAGATGTGTGGGCAGACTGCTCCGCCGGCGCCCAGCTTGCGGCCAGTGCTTGTGGAGATGACTCTGGTGGTCGTCACTGCCACTGTTGGTCAGCTGGGACGTGGGGGCCGCAGTGGGTGCCAGTCCAGTGGGGTGGCCTGGTCCTCCCAGGGAGCGGGGCCATGAGAGTCACATGCCCAGCGGGGGTTGGGGAGGGGGGAGAGTGGGGCTCACCGTGGCTGCCGCCCAACTCAGAGCAGAATCCCACCTTGGAGGGAACCAGGTCCCCCAGTGCTGGCCCGTGGCCGAATGCTCCCTCCCTTTCCCCTGCTCTCCCTCTGTCACAGTTACAGGTGACGGGTTATAGGTCAGCCATCTGAACCAGTGCATCCTCCGTGGCCAGGCAGAGGGCAGGTGGCCATAGCTCTGTGTTTGCTGGACTCTCTGGGCATTGAGAAGAATGTGAGCTCCTCCCCACCCCGCAGCCCACCCTGGAAGACTTTAGATTTGGGGGAGCCAGCTTCAGGTAGACGGAATTCAGCTGGATAGGGAAAAGGAGAAAAGTAAAAGTTCGATGTGATTTCTAGGCTTTTATCAGTGATCTTGAATTAAACAAAAATTGGGCAGTCTTCCCATGTTTGTTCATTTCATCAGCATAATGACAATAAGGCTCATGGAGTCCCCGTCCCGGCCCTGCACAGCCCTCCTCACCTGGCTCTGGGTTCCACACTTCTCATGTAGCCTGCACCCCACTCCCGCCTGGCTTGAGGGTCGGGGTGAGCCGTCCAGCCGTGGGTTCTCAGGGGGCCGTGCTGGACACAGTGCCGTCACGACGGTCGACCCTCTTAGCATCCCTAGATTCTTCTGGAGAACAGTCAATGGAGGAATCATCTGGAAACTGGACCACAGAGAAGATCATTTGTCTTACCTCCTCTGATTAGATTGGAAAGGGGTGCAGACTGAGGGGCAACGTTCTAAACCTGGCTCCCTTAACTTGGCCAACCGTCTGTTTTTGTGCTGAAACATAAGAGCTTTTAGCTAATACAATCAGTCCTACAGTTAAGTCACGTGCACTGCAAGTCTTGCGTGTTCACCGTTGAAGAACGGTGCGGACTATTTGGGCTTGTGTTTCACTATTTGGAACAATGTAGGTGTTTTCCTGCCCCATTACAAGCAGCTTGTTGAATTAGACATGACTTCCTGATGCTCACAGCACGTGGGCTCCTGGATGATGGAGTGGTCCGGGCTGGGGATGACCCTCCACTCTGGAGGGCACGCTGCCCACCGACTTCCAACAAAACCCCCGAAGCCATTCGAGGTCCTGCATGTCTGAATGGAGGCCGCCTAGCCCAGCGCTTCTCAGGGAGAGAGCAGGCCGGTCCCTGGGGCGGGTCGCCGCTGGGGAGCCCAGGGGTGCTGGCTGGGCCGCCCTGCTTGTCCTTAGTTGTGGGTCCTTGTGGGAGGTGGGCCTCCTGCCCTCTCATGTCCCCTTCCAGCGGGTTACATGGCCGTGTCAGTGCCAGCTCGCTCCCCGTCCTGGAGCTGGAGGTCCTGAGAGAAGGGCCTGGGGGGCCAGGCAGGAGGGGCGGTCCTTCCAGGTGGTGGCAGGCAGGGGTGGCATGTATGACACCCTCACCCTAGGGCAGTGGAAACAGTGGGGCCAACTCAGCATTCAGAAGGGAGCGGGCTCGCTCCCGGGTGGGGGCTCTGGTGTGGCGGCTGACCCCTCTCCTCTCTGGGCTGCAGAGGCTGCAGCTGTGGCCCCCACCCCCAGACACATGTCAGGCACCTGGGACCAGGGTCCTGTGGGCTGTCCTGGGTCCTGGGACTGGTGCCTCCAGGGGGCACAGGCGTGGGGTCCTCCCTCTGGGAGTGCTTCCCTCAGGAAGAGAGTGAGTGGACAAGGCCTGTGAGCAAGGGGCCATTGGCCACAGATCAGCCAGCCACCCACAGGCCAAGTCAGGCCACGTCTGAGAACCCCAGACCCTGTCCTCAGGCCCCTGGACCCCCACGCCTGCACCTGGGAGGTCTCCAGCTGCAAGCCCACACTCCCCCTGTGGCCACCAACTGAAATGTGGACACTCAGGCCTGTCAGACCTGAGACGTGGCCTGGATGCTGGTCAGGCGACTTCACAGAGCACACTTCCCCTGGGACGCCCACATTGGGGGTGCTTGGGGGCATTGCCTGTTGAAAGCCCAGAGATGCCTCCAGGTACCCCGGGCAGTGCCAGCACCCGGGTCTTGCTGGGCCCCTGGGAGTGGGGGCTGGGGCGGCAGGGTCCTCACTGTCTTGACTGTCCCTCTCTGTCTCCCCGCTGCCAGGTCCGGCCTCTTCGGCCTGCCCCCGCCGGCTCCACTGCCCCAGGCCGAGGACCCGCCTGTCAACGGCTGCCACGGCCCAGGCCCCACGGAGGGGGACGCAGAGGCGATGCAGCTGGGGACGGGTCCCCCGCCGCCTCCCTGCAGGGACCAGCCCCCTGAGACCGCCGGCCCCGAGCCGCCCCCACCCCTCGTGCCACTGCTGCCTGCTGGAAGCCTGCCCCCGTTCTCACCGTATTTTGAGGGCGCCCCCTTCCCTCCCCCGCTCTGGCTGAGAAACACCTACCGGCAGTGGGTGCCGCAGCCGCCGCCCCGGACCATCAAGAGGACGCGGAGGCGCCTGTCCCGAAACCGTGACCCAGGCCGGCTGGCCCTGAGCCCCATCCGCCTGCGGCCGCGCCAGGTGCTCTGTGAGAAGTGCAAGAGCACCCTGAGCCCCCCGGAGCCCAGCCCCGGCCCCCAGGCTGCCCCCAAGGCACGCAGGGGCCAGGGCAGCGACCCCGGCCCCGACAGGGAGCCCCGCAAGCCCGAGGACCCCAACGGTGGAGGCGACACGGTGGCTGCGGCCACCTCGAGGAGGAGCAAGAGGGAGAGGCGGGAGGAGGACAAGGCCCAGGTCCCGCGGAGCCCGGTCATCAAGATCTCCTACAGCACACCACAGGGCAAGGGTGAGGTGGTGGAGATCCCCTCCCGCGTGCACGGCTCCCTGGAGCCCTTCTGCCCGCCACAGGCCCTGCATGGTGGAGGCCAGGACCCTGAGCCACCGCGGGACAGACCGCCCGGCGGGCCCTCCACCTCTATCCCCAAACTGAAGCTGACAAGGCCCGGGCCCCCCGGCGCCGACCTGCCGCCCCCCAAGATCCGCCTGAAGCCCCACCGGCTGGGGGCCGGCGAGCAGGAGCCCGTCTACAGGGCCGAGCTGGTGGAGGAGCTCAACGGCCACAGGGGAGGCCCCCGGGACAGCTCGCCCGCGCTCCTGGCTGACAGCCCTGCCCGCGGGGGGCTGGCAGACTTGTCTTCCGGAAGTTCCGGCGAGGATGAAGACTTCAAGAGGGGTCCCCAGGGTAAACACGGGCGAGACAGCCTGGCTTTTCTCGCCACCTGCCCTAGGAGAACAGACTGTGCCAGTGAGTCAGTGTGGAGCAGTGACAGCCTGGACGAGGCCAAATCGTCCAGCTCAGAGGTCCCATCGCCAGACACGTGTGACCTGTCATCCGGCGATGGTGTGTCTGTGCCGTCCTCGTCCAAGGATGCGCGGCAGACAGTCCCTCCCCTAACGGTCAGGCTGCACACGCAGAGCGTCTCCACGTGTGTTACCGAGGACGGAAGGACCGTGGCCGTGGGGGACATCGTGTGGGGTAAGATTCACGGTTTTCCTTGGTGGCCAGCCCGTGTCCTTGACATCAGTCTTAGCCAGAAGGAGGACGGGGAGCCCTCTTGGCAAGAAGCGAAAGTCTCATGGTTTGGTTCTCCAACTACATCATTCTTGTCTATTTCAAAACTCTCCCCTTTCTCTGAATTTTTCAAACTGAGATTTAACCGTAAGAAGAAAGGGATGTATCGGAAAGCTATAACAGAGGCTGCAAATGCCGCGCGACACGTGGCCCCGGAAATAAGGGAGCTCTTAACCCAGTTTGAAACGTAAGGCGTGTTCCCCACCAGGTGAGTGCGTGCACGGAGGGTGGCCTCCCTCCCGGGCCGTCCGAGCTTGCGTCTGCATTGCAGCTGCTCTTCTGCTCGGGGGCCGCAGGCAGCCAGGGGGATTGGGGATGCCCTCAGCCACCTGGGCCCCTGCTCTGAAGGGGACCATCCGGAAAATCGCCCTGTTCGCTGGCAAGGTCATCAGAAGAGGTGCTTTAAAAGTAGACCAGTTCAAAGAAGGGAGCTTGTTAGTGTCTTGTGGCCATTTTTCAAAGTGCAATAAAAGATCTCCTTACTTTTGTGTTAGCCTTTTGGAGAAAGGGGCACATTTTAGAGATCGAGGTTTTGACTGATGGAGGAGCGAAGTGAGGGGCTTCCTCTTCTGCTCTCACGCTGAAGGGATGCGCCTTCCTTTCTGCCCGAAGACAGGAGCCGTGGCCTCTCCCCTCCTGCTCGAAGGTGCCCTGCCGGGTCTCGACTGGAAGGAAGGAAGAAGGTCACAGCTGCCTGCCCCCAGATGCAGCTCCCGTGGCCTCAGCCCCGCTCCCTCCTCCTGGAGCCAGTGTGTGCTCTCCTCCATCAGCAGGCGCAAGGTTCCCAGACTTGCGATGGCTAGGTGCTCCAGGCCCCTGGAGGTGGCTCTCCCTCCGTCTCTCCCCACTGGAGAACTTTGTAGGATCTCCAGCAACAGGCCTTTGTCAGAGCCTCATTGGGGCCGGGGGGCCTCTCTACATGGGGTTGGGTGTGTCACCACATGGAATTGGGGCATCACCATGTGGGATTGGGGCGTCACCATGTGGGGTTGGGGCTGTCGCCAGGTGAGGTTGGAGCATCACCGTGTGGGGTTGGACTGTCACCGGGTGGGGTTGGGGCGTCACTAGGTCGGGTTGGACTATCACCAGGTGGGGTTGGGGCATCACCGTGTAGGGTTGGGGCGTCACTGTGTGGGGTTGGACTGTCACCAGGTGGGGTTGGGGCGTGGGGTTGGGGCGTCACTGTGTGGGGTTGGACTGGCACCAGGTGTGGTTGGGGCGTCACCGTGTGGGGTTGGACTGTCACCATGTGGGGTTGGGGCATCACCGTGTGGGGTTGGGCTGTCACCAGGTGGAGATGGGGCATCACCAGGTGGGGTTGGACTGTCACCAGGTGAGGTTGGGGCATCACCGTGTGGGGTCGGGGAGTTACCATATGGCATACCTTGTCACCTCGTAGGGTATCAGGAAATGGCGAAGGGGCTGAGGCCACCTACTGTGAGCTTCCACTGGGCCCAGAGTTGCAGGGAGATGCTGGGCACCTTCTCATCTGACGGCTCCACCAGCTCAGGTCCCTGGGCGCTTAGGTGTGTCCAGCAGGTCCCTGGCCCTGCTGGGGACTCTTCCCAGTGCTAACTCCCCTTCCTCTCCTCCCTGTTGGTCCTGTGCAGGCCGTGGGGCCCCAGAGGCTCCAGGCTGCCTGGGTGGGGAGCAGCCTGTGGCCGTCTTCCTGGCTCTGTGGCCTAACACCCATGCCCCCAGAAGCAGGGATGGGGTGGGGCTGGGCTGCACACAGAGGATGAGAGTGGTCCTCCACCCCAGCTGAGCTTCTGCCTTGGTCTCCAAGACCTTCAGGCAACCTTGTCTGACCTGGCCCGCCTGCTTATCCTCCGGTCTGGTGTCACACTTTCCCCTGTGGTGAGCCTGCAGGCCTTAGCAGGGCCGGCTGACATGTGGCTGGGCAAGGGGTTTGTGGGGCACCTGCCATGTCACCTTACTGCTATGCCAGGTGCAGTGAGGGTGCCAGGATGAGGAACCGATGATGAGGCCTCTCAAGGCCTTGTCCCCGCCCCCTCCCCACACCTGCTTCCTGCGTCAGGCCTGGTCATCATCCTGAGTCACTCCAGGCGTCCGGGCACAGACCCTCCTCTCCTGAACCATGCACATCTCCCCTCAGTCCTGAGCCTTCATGTTGGGGTGTGGGCGCAGCCTGGACCTGGTGGCATCAAGCCAGCGAGGGTGTCAAGTGAAGGCGCCTTGGGGGGGCTCCAGAAAAAGGTCAGATGCCCTGGCGTCGGCTTCCTAGGATGTCTCCCTGCTGTGGCCTTGCTTAGCTGGGAGCCGCAGGCTGCAGCCGCGTCCTTCTGGCCTGGGGACCATCCACGGGGTCCTGCCTCTCTCTGTGCTCTCTGCAGCCCCCGTCCAGCCCCTCTGCTCACACAGCCCATCCTGCCTTTAGCTGGGTCTGGGGCCAGCATGGAGGGTGGGCGCCTCTCCCATGCATCCCTTTCGTGTGTGCCGTGGCGCCATGCTGTCAGCGAGGGCGTGGTGAGCAGATCAGTCCTCAGAGTGACTTTCAGATCCCAGGTCATGGTGGACGGTTACGGGGGACAGTGAGCCGATGCAGGCATCAGCCCAGATGAAACTCAGGGCCCTGGGGGCCCAGCATGGCCTGGCTGACACGGAGTCCCCAGGCTGGGAGAAGGCAGCCCAGTAGGTTCAGAGCTGGCTCTGTTCATCAGGAAGCAGAAGGAAGAATCTCACCCAACCGGTTTGCCCGCTGCAGGGGCCTACCCACGCACAGGCCTCTTGTGGGTTCTGATTTTCGGTTCTGGGGCTGTGCCTGTGGAGCTCTGGGAGCATGGGGTGCTGGATCCTTTCAGCACAAAAGCACAAAGTGGTTTTGCCTGATTGGCTTTTTGGTTTCTTCTTCTTTTTTTGAGGAAGATCAGCCCTGAGCTAACATCTGTCACCAACCCTCCTCTTTTTGCTGAGGAAGACCGGCCCTGGGCTAGCATCCATGCCCATGTTCCTCCACTTTATATGGGACGCCGCCACAGTACGGCTTGATAAGTGGTGTGTAGGTCCACACCCCGGATCCACACCCGCGAACCCTGGGCTGCCAAAGCAGAGTGCACACGCTTAACCACTATGCCACCAAGCCTGCCGCTGGTTTCATTTGTTGAGGATTAAAGGCTGTGAGCTGAGGTGCGTGCCAGCCAGGTGGCTGATCCGCTGGCAGTGGCGAGCCAGGGTCTTCCACTCTGGGTGGGGTTGGTGGTTTCCTGGCAAACAAGTTTGCTTTCACGTGTCAGTGATGCTGTTTTGAGAGCAGCCCCTCCAGTCAGCTCCTTGAAGAGGAAACCGGGCACTGCCTTCGCTGGGGAAGAGGGGCTTCCCCAGGCAAGCCAGGGGCTGCAGGGGCTGGTATAAGATGTGAGATGCTAATGGGGGCTGAGTGCTGGTGCCGAGAGAGAGGCCACGGTTGCTGACACCTGGGCACCTCCTGGGAGGAGGAAGCTCCCTCCCCTGGAGGGAGACCTGGGGGCTGCACAGGGGCCTGGAGCTTGGGCAGGGGAGGCCTGCTGGGGAAGATTGTCCTCCAGGCCCCGCTCACCAACTGCCTCGGCCTGGCCCAGCTGGGCCTGCGGCCACCTGAGGACCACTGTGGCAGTGCCAGGAGCTCCTCGGGGTTTGGGGGTATCTGTACTGCTCACAGGCACATGTCAGAGAGTGTCCCAGCAGACACAGCAGGGTCAGGTCCCTTCCAGGGATGTCCTTCCCAGCATCTTGTTCCCGAGAGACCCCTCTGCCCCACCTTGCGGGGCGCTGGAAGCTCGGCTGAGAGGTGAGTGGCCACGTGGACTCTGCAGAAGCACAGAACCAGCCTGGGGCCTGGTGTCCGGGGCGCTGGTGGGAGGGGACATTGGCCATCAGCAGGGACTGCCTCAGACCACTGATCCACCGCCTGGGGAACCGGGTGCTCCTCCCAAGGGAGGCCCTGACCTCCAGGGGCAGACACGGGGCCACCTGGCCCTGCCCTGACCAGTCGCTTGCGGCTCCTGCCCCAGCAGGCTGGCGTCTCTGAGCCTCAGTTTCCCCATCTGTCTCGGGGCAACAACAGCACCTGCCTGTTGGGTTGAGTGGTAAGTGAGGGGTACCCTGGGGCTTGTTAATGACCCCTCAACAGCCACTTTTGGAGGTGGCCACATCCTTCCCCGCTCAGTGGGAGTTGTTTTCCCAGGGGCTCCTCCCACATCCCCCCCCCAGGGACTGGCAGGACCTGGCAGGGAGGCAGGTGTGGGGGTTACAGGCTGCGCTCTAGGGGTAGGGTGGGGTCACGCTCCTGGCTGGATGAGGCCGTACCCTCCTCCTGCCTGTGGCGCTGCTCAGGGGTCCCGGCTGGTCAGAGGGTGAGGGCCCTGTAGGAGCTGACTGGCCAGGCCTCATCCTGCAGGTGTGACGGGGACGCCCCAAGAGCACAGGGCTGGCCCCCTCAACCTGATAGGTGATGGCGACTCCTCCTGGGGTGACCCCTCCCTCAGGGCCAGAACTCTTTCTCTCAGACCCCTGGTCACATCTTTCTTCTCTCCAGTCCATCTACCCACCTACCAAGGGCCGAACGTTCAGCTAGATGGGGCACAGAAGGGTGTGCAGAATCACCAACGCTCTCACTGGGGGCACTGGGGAGAGGGCTGTGAATCACAGTCCCCACATTCATGCATAGTTGCAGACAGGAACGTGCTGAGAAGGGACGAGGGCCCCAAAACACAGCCTCTGGCGAGGAAGCTGACCTGGACTGGGGATCTGGGAAGGCTTCCTGGAGGAGGTAATGTGGCCAAGATTAGATCTGTGAGCTAATTATGAGCTAACCAGGGGGTGACCATCCCAGGCAAAAGGGGCAACATGTAGCAGGGTCTACAGCATAAGGAGCTGGGCACGTTCCAAGGGTAGGGGGAGGAGGCCAACTCAGGCCTGGTGGGCTGAGGCCCCCACTGCAGCCTATCCAGAGAGCAAAGGATGCTGGTGGAGAATTTAAGCAGAGGAGTGAATGGTTCTGTTTTTGTTGGAAAGACCCCCTGGCTGTGGAGACAGGAGTGTGATGGGGGCCCAGGAGGCTGGATGGACATGTGAGAGGACAGAAGCTGAAATGGGACAGAGAGTTGGCTGAAGGGCAAGGTGAGAAGACCCTGGGGAGGTGGGATGAGTGTGCTGGGTGCCCCTCAGCGCGGGGAGGGTGGCTCCAGTTGGCTGGTGTCTGAGTCTCAG